GTAGGGAAATGTTGCCCAGATTGGTAATTCCCAAAGTATCACACAGTACGTAGAACTTTGTTCCATGTCAGGCTTGTTTGTATTATTTCCAAGACCAATAAAATAAGCATGGATAGCATAGAAATTATTAGTAACTCAACAAATCACTGTCTTTCAACAAAAGTAGTTTCAAGAAAAAAACTGACAATCATTAGCAACCTTTCTTTAATTATGAAAAATAACTTTAGAATGTCCTTTTAAAGCTAATTAAATTTAAATGCAGAGCTCACTTACAGCACACAGGCACAGCTTTTGAAAATCAGGCAGATTTTTCAAATGTGTAATGGAATACTGTAACGTATCCTTACAACTTAGCTCAGATGCAATTTTCTGCTCTGCTGAATTTATCTAGACTCTTAGTTGTTGGCAGCAAAGCAAATTTCTCTTTCTTCCACCCTCAGAGATACATACGTTGCTGTCATTGACCTAAAATGTTGTGTGGAAATTTCTGCTTCCAGTAGAAGTTCTTTATTAGACGTGACCAACGTTTTTTAACTGCATTTGATATAGAGACAAGTAGTGCCTGTGTCCTGAAGCTGTGTCCTTTCCCTGTCCCTTTCCCTGGGTGCCCCAAAGCAGCCCAGCAGAAGAGGCGTAGAGGGTCCCGCTCCCTCCTTTCCCCTGATTTTTAGGATGCTGCCCATGGGCAAAGAGGTGCTGGAAGCATGCTCAGCGTAGCCTTGCTTGCCCCATGTGCTTGCCCCACTTGTTCAGGGAGTGCCAGCTGGGCTAGGTGCAGGAGCTAGTATCCTGCCTGCCTGAGGCAGACCCCAGCCCAGACGCCCTAGGGGCATGGGATAGCTCTATCAGCTCTCACGCAGAGCTCTGCCTAATGAGTTCCAGCCCTGGGTTTACACCAGCATATGAAGCCGTTAACATTTTCATTCTAAGCAATTACAAAATGCCCCTTGGGCACAGAGTGAGTCTTTGAAACAAAAGGAAATAAATCAGGTTGGCTGTTCTGGGGGAGGGTGAAGGGGAGGGGGGGTGCAGTGTGACAAAGCATCCCTAGGTGTCAGCTGCGGGTTCTCAGTCCTAAAATCCCCTGAAACTAAGCGGACCAAATGGGCATCAGAGGGAGTCCTAGAAATGGGCAGAGGAGAAATGCTGGGATGCACAGTTAGACTGGTGAGTTGAAGGCTGGCACCTCTGCTGAGGGGGAGATGTTGTCTGTTTACTCTTCCATTTGCCTGCTGGCAGACACAGCTGAGACTTTTAAGAAGGAATGGTATTTGGAGTGCTGTCTTATTACAATAGTGGTGTCTCCTCCTGGTACTCTGGGTACCCGTAGATCAAGGAGAGAGCGGATAGGGGGCATGGCGGTGGTGCTCCTGCACCTTCAGTGACCTGGAGGATGCACTATCAGAGGCAGAGCTTCAGTCCCTGTGGGGAATCTGTCCATGTCCTTGGTACTTCACGACCAAGATAGGTCTTGCTTTGTCTCCTAGCATGCGTTAGAAAAATGGAGAAAATTACCTCAAGTTAGTGTTTTAATTGTAATCTTAATTTAGCAACGTTTGTTTTGCCCGACATTGCCCTCTCTCCAGTATATTACACTGTGTTCAGTTCCCTTCCTGGAGCCAAAGATAGACCTTTTCCTTTTCCTTTCACTGACCTTTTTGTTGCCTTTGCAAATTCTCTCCAACAACATGGTGTAAAAGTGATTTTCCCTAGCCATAATGCTTATTTCAAGACTTTAACTTCAGTTTGGTGGCTTGTCTTTAATCTCCCCAGCTGGACGCTGCTGTAGCCTGCATCTCTGTGGGGGACTTCAGAGTCATTGTGTCTCACAGAGAGAGATGAAGGGGTGTCAGAGTTGAGTCCAGCTCTGGTAGCTCTACCCTATGGAGCTCTGGGCTCAGGGACCAGCCAGCCTCAGCATGGACACAGCCACAGGCAGCACTGCAGCATCCCTCTGGATGCCCCTGTCTGCTCCCAGCCATCCTCTATATGATATCTATGCACCCCAGAAGCAACACAGATGAGGTTTAATAAGAAATGTGTGCTGCTGCTTGAAAATCCTCTTGTTATGATGTGTTTATGGTGTTTCTATCCGATAATCTCTGCATGTCATTATACCAGGCTTTTGTTCCCTTGTCCTAAGGTATTGTGTCAATCATTAATGGGATGTTTTCCTCCTTTTTTTTTTCCCCTTTTTGTTGCTGTTTGGTCATTTTACTTCTTCATATTAAACAACAAACAAAGCCATGAAAAACAATTCTTTTTCCTTTATTTTTTTCAGATGTAACATTCATCCATGAAGGAAATAAAACTTTTCTGGATAACCTTGTTAATTTTGAAAAGCTGGTAAGCTAATTTTCTGTTTTTCAAAGAGATTCACATTCTCTTCTTCTCTTTCCCCTCCTTATCAAAAAGGCTAAAAGATTTTGTGGCTGAATCAGGAAGAAGTAAACGGGTAAAAAAGAACAAACAGAATAAAACCGCCAACAATTTATCTCCCCTGCCCCTTCCCTCTACTCCTCTCTCTTCTCACTTCTTCCTCTCCCAGTTCTGTGTAAAATAGCCAAGCCAGTGATGGCCAGCATCAGTGCTACACAGTTTTCTCTCCTTTGCACCACCTCATGGACTATTTCTCCTTAGTTAAGTTCTCCTGCTTCAGCTTCCTCTAAACCATGTTTCCTTTTTTTTTCTCAAGGCACTAAAGAAAAATTTATTTAGTTTATCACTTGACACTGGTATGCTAATTCCAGGGATCTAAAATGAAAGTAAAATTTCTGATCTAGGTTAGATGATGAAGAAAATAATGCCTGAAAAATGAATTAAGCTGACTGTAAATACCACTATAGTAGCGTTTATGTAGAAGGGCACTTACTGACATTGTATCTTTGGTCTGCTAAGGCCTATGCTTGGCCTGCATCTACTCTAGACATTGTATGATGTCTATTCTGGCATGATATTACTGATAGACGTTTGATATCTTTAACTTGCATATTTCGTTTCTTTGTCAATAACATTTTCATGGCACTGAAAGCCACAGTTTATATATCTGAACAGTTGTGGAGTAGAGAAACTTTGATTTTTAAAGTTGTCCTGGAGTATTTGATCAAGAAACCAAAATGTTCTTCCCAGTTGCTCTAGATGTGCTGTGGGAGTGCTAGTCCAGATGGCTGTGCCTGGTGGATTGTTCCCAGCTATTTTCTCCATGTGTTTACACTTGTTTGAGAATGAATGTGCAACCATGGAGTTATTCATGAACCAGATGTTGAACTTATTTTTACATCCTATCATAATGTACATTGTCTTTCAACTTGCAAGCAGATGTAGACTTTGACTTTTGAACCTGAGCTCCTCTTTTGGTGTTTTCTGTTTGATTTCTGTACCTTTTCTTGTTGCAGAGTTTACAAGAACACTGATTTGCATTTAATGAAAGGTTTTCTTGTACCAAGTCCATTAACTGTTTGACCTTTAGGTGTTTGCATAAAACTCATTAGCATGTTCTTCTTCGTTGCCTCTTGGAAGTACATCCAATTAACATGTAAATTAAACTAGCCCTTGATGCACAAGAATTGTTACTAAAATCCCCCCACTGGCCTGTACATTTATTTAGTGAATGTGGTAGGATCTGATTCTTGTTCCAGTCTTAGACAGACCTTTTTTGTTGATTAATCATGTATATTTTTAATGTATGCTGGGCTTGTTGGGTAAGATTTCCTATCCTCTCTGTCACCATTGTGTCTCTAGAGGCAGTGGGAGCTTTGCTAATTGACTTCAGTGAGATAGGATTTCACCTTTTCCATGCAAATGGATAATGGACATTTTAAATAGCAGGGGTGGAGAGTCTGAGGTGATGGTGGTGGGGTGAGGGTTGTTCCTCCAAATTATTAGTCAGATCATGCCCTCAGGAACGGAGCTGTCTCATGGAGCCCTGTGTACGTATGAATACAGGCAATAGTGCAAGTTTAGGAAGTGGGGGCTTCGGAGAGATTTAAATATGAGTGTAGTGGAAACTCAGAGAGTACATCTATTACACTGGTTCGTTTGGATGGTAAGGCATTTAGTCAATGGTCATGAATTTGCTGAAAAGATGCATCACACACAATCACACATACATCAGTTCATGTTTCTTTTCTAATTATAAGGGCTTTATCCCAGGGAAGAATGTACTCATTTGTGTTCTATACTGTGCTGAGCACTTTCTGGCCTCTGCTGAGAAAAATTAGGATTGACGTTGACTCCTGCTTGGTTTGGATCAAGCCACTGAACCTCACTTGCCAATTTGCTGTTACAGAAAAAGAATTATTCTACCATGGTAGATTACTGCTTTGGGAAAGGAACTTACTGTCATAAATACACAGAATTTCTACTTATTAATTTCAAAGCAAAAATAGTTTCTAGTCTCTCCATTTGGATCAGTATTTTGAAATATTTCATTTCTGCATTAATCATCTCACCTGAAGGAGGACTTGTCAGTCTGAACCGTTGTTTTTTCAACTATATAAGTTAATTTAATAAAAGATATTCTCTCTCCCTACAGTCCCTTCTTCTTTTATATTGTTTGACCATCATGGCTCAAACAATCCTACCGTGACTGAATTTGATTTGACATGACGTGATTGCAGTGAAGACAAAGTTAATTCAAAATATAAAGAAGGGAATTTGCAAAGAGAAGAAAATGAAATGATCTTTTGTCTCAGGAATGTTACCTAGTTTTAGCAAAAGTTGAAGTGTTGTAGTGGTTTAACTCCATTTTGGGTAAACTCCCAGCAGGTCAAGGGAGGTGATTCTCCCCCTCTACTCTGCTCTGGTGAGACCCCACCTGGAGTACTGCATCCAGTTCTGGGCCCCCCAACACAAGAAGGATGTTGAGTTGTTGGAGAGGGTCCAGAGGAGGGCCGCGAAGATGATCAGAGGGCTGGAACATCTCCCATATGAGGATAGGCTGAGAGTTAGTGTTGTTCAGCCTGGAGAAGAGAAGGCTCCGGGGAACCTTATAGCAGCCCACCAGTACTTGAAGGAGGATACAGGAGGGATGGGGAGGGACTTTTACAAGGGCATGTAGCAACAGGACGAGGGGTAATGGATTTAAACTGGAAGAGGGCAGATTTAGACTAGATATCAGGAAGAAAGTCCTTACTGTGAGGGTGGTGAGGCACTGGAACAGGTTGCCCAGGGAAGCTGTGGATGCCCCATCCCTGGAGGTGTTCAAGACCAGGCTGGATGAGGCTTTGAGCAACCTGGTCTAGTGGGAGGTGTCCCTGCCCATGGCAGGGGGGTTGGAACTAGATGATCTCTGAGGTCCCTTCCAACCCAAACCATTCTATGATTCGATGATGAAACTCTACTCTGGAATAGTGTTAGATAGTTTAGTACCATACCCACTTCCTCAACCAAATCTGAAGGAATAAATGAAAATATGGTTTTATACTGTTGCGTCTCAACGCATTTCTGTGGTATGTACTGAGCTACTTCACTGAAATGTGGCTTCAGGTTTTTTTTTTCTCCAGTCAGCCATCACCCGTATCTTAGCAATGACATGTCTTAGCCACACTCCAGCAAATTCTAATACAGGTCAATGACCATTACCATTTTAGATGACACCTTACCTAGTGCCTTCAGCTGTAAGGACTGTGTACATTCAGCTCAAAGTTCCCAACCCCCACCCCCAAATATCTGTGCAACTCCCAAGCCTGAGTTTTTACTATCCTCAGTTAAAGGAGTGCTAATGATCCTAGGTAGCTTGTAGGCTGAAAGGCCACAACAAATGTGTGTTACCCATCACACTAGCGGTATGCAAGCACCTGTTTAAACAGTCAGGAAATGGCATTTACTTTGCAGATTAATTGGCTGATTTTCTGCATTACAATTGGATCGCAGAGAGTTGAAAATGGACAGAGAGAAATGCCTAATTAGGCTACTAAAGCGGGGAGATTTGGGGTTCTGCTTTAATAGAGTGTTACACCAAGAGGTTCTTCCATTACCAGAGCATCACCTTCAGAAACCAGTCTTGGGATGGACCCCCACACTGATTACAAAGGAGAAACAGCAAGGAATGACAGTGTGTGTGATAGCTGGGTTGCTCTTACTTCTAAAAGCCAAATGCAAAGGGTATCAGCTGGAGAACATCACAGCAGCAGCACTGGTGGAAGTTGTAGCTCTCCCAGTACTCATACTATTGGTCATGAAATCTAGATCATCTCATTAGAACGTCATGATACTCAATGTAAGGACATCAGCACAAGAGATTACATGATTTAATGCCAAATGAAGCACATTGGGTAACAAGAAAAATTATTTTGATTCACTAATGAAGGGAATATGAAGTTTCTGTTAAACATGCTCTTCTGATAAGCTTTTCTAGGGAGGAGCCTTGTAAGCTACTCCCAGGGTGTTGAGAGATGAGCTGTTCTGTGTCATTCTGGTCTTCAACATACTCTGCTCAAGACAGTTAATCCTTTCTGTCTCTGGTTATTTTTGAGGGAGATGTGGGAAGAGCATAAGCTGTTTGCGTTTTCCTGCTAACTGCAATTTGCTTAAATTAGTTATTAGATGTGGTGAAGAGTTGCCACAGAAGCAGTCAATAAAGAAAAAAAAAGTAATACCTCGAGAACTTCATGGATGACATCTAGTGAAAATGAGCACACTCATTGATAGAGAACAATTCCAGTTTTCATAAGTTGAGGACCAGAGTCTGAATGAGAAACCAAACATAAACTTCCCCTGCTTAATCTGAGTGTACATCTGTTGTATTTTTACTCTGACATGCAGCAAAACACTACAACACCAACGCTCACCCTGCTCCCCGCCCCTCCTGAGGATGGGGGAGAAAATTAAAGGGGTGAAGGGCAAAGAGACTCCTGGGTTGAGATAAGAACGATTTAATAACTAAACTACAATAATATTGGAAATAATAATTATTATTATAATAATAGTAATATATTCTGTCCAATATCCCTGTTAGCACCAGCTTTTCTTAAAATAGTATACCTACAGTATAGTCTTATTTGGTGCCTGTCTGCGGAGGTGTCAGGGTGCTTACTCTGCAGCATTTAGGCTGTGGGCTGGTTTTTTTGTGTTGGTTATCATATGGCAGAAAATTGCGTAGCTGATACTAGTGCCTGATTGTGCTAGGCATTATATAAGTATACATTAAGGTGTAGTATGTGCCACAAAAGGGCTTACAGTCTAATTAAACAACATGTGGAGACAGAAGGAGAGGTTGCAGACTACCAAATGCCCTGGATAATACATTCAAGCTGGGAGCTGAACCCAGACGCACCCACCCAGTCCACAGGACTTCCCTGCTGTAGGCTTTCCATTTAATAAAAGTCATCCAAAAATAAGCAATTGTTTGGCTATTTTTCACTACCACTTTCCATGGGCTCTTGGGGAGTTGTTCCCATTTGAGCTGTGTGATATCAATAAGGACCTTCTTGACTAACCCTGTTTCACTATATATTATCACTAAGATAAAGAGTGAAGTCTCTCTCTTGCTGTGTTAATTTTCTACCTTAATGCAGTTGCTTTTTACTGTATAGTGTAGGGCAAGGAGAGTTTTTTCAGGCTTTTCTAATGGCAGAATCCATCTCAGGTTTTTGCACTGATGGTTTATATCTTGTCTTTGCAGCACATGATCGCAGATACTGTTCGGTCATTGAGACATTGCAGAAATAACCAATTTGGTGAGTAGCCAGAATTTGCCATTTATTTTGCCTTTGTACAGCCATGAAGGTTTTTTTTTTCTGTTTTCTTTCCACTTGCTGGGGTTAACTACAGCAGCAAAATGTCATTGACAATCGTTTTAACCAGTTGGCAAGAGGAGGTCTCATTGTTGGAATGTCAACATAGCAGCAACCACAGTTGGATGAAGTTTTACTTCACAAAATGTTTGTAGAAGCAGCTTCCAAGTTATTTAGGAATTATTTTCCTGAAAAAACTGTCACCTTTTCAAAATACTGTGTAATATCTGCGCCAGCTGCTCTTAATAATGGAGGCCTCTGATGTACACCGCTGTTTCTCACTTTCCCAGCTATAACCGAGTTACCTCAGTCTCCCACTGCTCTGTGTGTTTTGGTAATGAATTCGCAGCTGTCTTGGCTTCCAGTAGCTAAAAGATGGTATCATCACCACAGCTTTTCACTTGGCTTTTCAGCAACAGAAATTGTTTGCTTGGTTTGGGTTCATAGAATCATAGAATGGTTTGGGTTGAAAGCGACATTAAAGATCATTTAGGTCCAACTCCCCTGCCATGGGCAGGGACACCATGTTCTTAAAGACATTTCACAAAAAGTCTTGAAGATACTAAGATCCTGTCAGTTTCATGAAGGTGGTTGACTAGGTAGAAAAGAAGAGGTTGTGTTAGTAGTTCTGCTAGGGAAAGACTTGTAAATAGAGCTCTGCCTGGTATAGACACTGGAGGATCTGTGATGATGGGAGCGATTAAGAGTGACTCAGCTGCACAAAAGGCTTTTTTTTTTTTTTTGGTGTTTCCACCTTATTAGCCACCAGAGAATCCAACCCTAAAGGACCATGCCCAGCTTGCTTTGTTCTGCTGCTTGCAGAGGAGGAACCTTGTTTTTCTCCTCAGCATTTCTCATTCTCTGCAGAGAGGTTAAACACAGGAAGGGGACAAACATAGCACTAATTTAGGAAGTGGTTAGAGTTTTTAAGCCAAACACACTAAACAAGTCATTGATTGAGGCCACTGAAACCTCCTTTCCAAAGGGAAGTTCAGAACTGTGCTGTAGCCTTGGGGAAAAACAGTTTGTTTATTTTTTCCAGATGAATTTTCAGCAGCTGTCAGCATGGACTCTAGCAAAAAGAAAAATAATAATAATTTTCTGTATAAATACACATTCCTTGGAGAATGATAGGTACTGCTGACAGTTTGGATGAATATTTGTTCTGTAGAATTACCTTGTTGTATGTACAGGGTTTTTTTCAAACAAAGGCTACTTACTATTATGGTTCTTGTTTTATTTTGACATACATATATATGTATAGAAGAGAAAGAAAGGGAGAGAGGACATACCTTTTTTGTTTTATTCTGTCGAACCAGATACTAAAGGAAATATTGGTTAATCCCACCCATGTCTCTGTAAATTAGAATGTCTATTATTTGGCATTATAAAATGTAGAATTGGCTCTTTTTAATTTCGTGAAAAATTTTTTGCAGCTTCTCTGCAAATCTTTCATCTTGTTTTTGCCTTTTTTTTCCCCAAGTGGTTTTGTAAGTGTTGCAACATAAATCCAAGGTTAATACCTGAGATTTATCGTATAATCTGGTAGTTTGAAGTACGTGATTGTTATTTTATTTTACCACAGACTTGATTTATTGTGAGACTGGCATTTAAAAAGCAGCTTATACAGACATCCCTGTAGGCACTTTTTTTTTTCTTACATTCGTTCAGGCATGAAATGAATTCACTGAATATTTATTGAGACTTTATGGACAGTTTCCTTTTCTAGTGGGCTTATTTTGCTCTCAGAAATGTGAATCTTTCTACTGCATCAATTCCCAGATTGGTCTAAGAGCAGCATGCGTCTCACTGTAGGAAAAAATTCAAACAAAACTAAGCAAGGAGTGTTATTATTGTTTATGAACTGTATCATGTGTATTAGGCTTGCAGGCCAAAGTCTTTCTGGATTAGAAATTGGTTAGATTCCCAGCAAGACTGAAATGCCTTTTTAATGGAAATAATACTTCTGTATCCTAAATCCTGAGAAGAAATAATAGCGTTTCCAAAACCAGGTGAAGCAGCCTGAGAAAATAACGTCATTTAAGATTTTGTCATTTCGGCTGTGTTCTGGTTTTGTGTGGTGGGTTTGTCTGGTAG